GACTTGAAGATAACGAATGCAAACTTATCGGATCTCCTCAACTTTATCTGGTTTAACAAGGATACAAAGTTCAGCAACTCGCCTCTCCTGGCAATATTTTTTAGGGTATTACAATGGGCAATATATGCTTCCGGGTGGAAGTGTTGACAACTGTCAGCACGCGCCTTCTGTAGCTAACCTAACCTAGGTACGTAAAACTGGTAAACATTAAACATTGCTGGTCACAGTCGATTAGGGAGCCATGCTAGCAATTTGGGGCTTCCTTTTAATCATTTCTGTCAGAGAGGTTGATAAAACTGCTTCACATCTGTTTTGACTAGGCCTACTTTTAAGAAGTATATTAATCTTTTTCAAACGTTGAAAGTGGTTTTGAAGTTTCTAAGTTTTTTATACGGTTACACAATGGGGCGTAAAGCTTAAGTGAATTCTTAGAATTGCATATATAACCTGATCTAATGTTTTTTAGTTTGCTTATTTGACAATTCTTCTATAGCATTAGATCATAACAAAGAGTTTCGATTGACGATTGAAAGGAAATATACGTTCCAAACTTTACAAAGTTTTCAAGTTTGTTGGTTTCATCCTGCGCTATATCATGTTTTTCAACTCATAATGCTTTATGTCAATTTTCTGCAATGGTGGATTGCACCCACATCACCTGCGTCAAAGCGATCGACAGCTACCTCGGACATTTCATTAAATTGCCACTTTTTTATATTACATAGAATTGGCTTAAATATTTTACTTATAAAATTTTTAAAATAAATATTAGTCTTTTTACTCATCTTTCCACAGATAATAAATAATAAATAAATAGAGTTTGAAAGACAGAGGAAATGGGAGGGAACTTATATTGTGCTGAAAAATTTTAAAATAATTTTTTGGTAATTAACTTTAGCTCTTAAAAGTATGCTTGTTTTATCTGTTTTATATTTTTATGAATTCAAGTCTGTATATATTGCATACTTTTTGGCTCAAAGTTGGTATTATTGGAGTTTCAATGTTGTGTAATTAAATTTTACCTAAAAATATGCAACACAAAATGAAACAAAACTAATGTAAATGTTTCCATGAAAGGATTTATTATAGAGATGTTAAGTTCCTAATAGAAAGTGTCATAGGTTTCAAAACGAGACGTTTATTTATTTACTATGTTACTACCTGACATTATTTTGAGGCAGGCTTTTGGGAGCAAGAAGTTTTGTCTCAGTGTGAGATCAGAATCTTCCTCAACGGGAGACATACTAGCTTTCATACGACAGACTAATAATATTTAGTTTGGTGGGGTTTTAGATGTCGTCGCATATGTCTTAAAAATGTGGCGGAGTAATATTTAAGATTGAAAAAATCGCACATGTGACAATGATGTCCAACTTAAAGAGCTTTATGATGAAAGTATATGTGCATGTACATATAGTTTTTTAAAGAAAAACATCATAATACAAAGATCGTTTTGTTTTAGTATATGATAATCACATTGTTGAGCGAAACTATTTTATTCATTTTTTGGAAAAGCCATTTGTTATTCTGGTCCTCATTTTTTTAAGTTATTTCCAGTCACCAAGAACTAGACAGCTGGAAATGAGAAATCCAAAAATCTTTAAACATAATAATAAAAAACAAACAATTTATTTTTATACATGATAAATTTATTATTATATTGTATATTCGACATTAATATTTTATTTTTAATATTTAGATATGAATAACTACAGACATTACTTTTATTTAATAACTTACAATAATGATTTTTGCATGTTTTTAAATACACATATTTAAAATTTGTTATTGGTGATTTTTTTAAGTTATGATTATTGTAAACTGTTAAAAATAATTTTATTAATAGTTTTAAAATTACATATTTTAATTTCAATATTTCCATATATAATGTAAATTTTTATTTTATAAACTACATAATATATGATGTTTCTAATTTTAAACTAACAAATGATATATATATATTATATATTTAATTATATTTGATATAATTAATATAAGCAAACACAAAAAAAAAATAAAAAAAACAATAGATAAAATAATAGAAAATAATATTTTTCAGCGCATTAAAGGTTTCATGATTATTCAAAGTGATTTTAGCATTAAATTAATAGATTTTAATGCAAAATTAATATATGGTTTATTTTAATTCTGACAGAACTTCAGCTTTTTACTTATAATAAAACATGAAACCTTAAAAACTGTTTAGAGTGCACATTTGGCCATTTTTATTGATATTTGTTTAATAAACTATTCTATATAATCTTAGCAATTAATATTTTTACTTTAAATACGTTAAGTTTAAAAAAGTGACAGCAACACATTTAATTACATCAACAATGGCTTTCATAATATTAAAATTATTAAACTTCTCATATATTATTTTGTATAAGAAGAGAGAAAGTTATAAAAAATAATTATATTTCTTATACATATTTTACAAATAAAAATAAAATTTATATAATATTTAATTTAACACAAAAACTATTTCATAAATAAATATATGTAATACACATATATATTTCGTTAACAAAATAAAAATAATAAATTCTATTTTAATATTTCAACATATTAAATAATTAAATATTATTAGATTGATTTGTAATAATATATAACAGAAAATATTTAATTTCTAAAAAAATTTTATTTTTTACAAAAATATTTTTCATTATTAAATATATTGAAGCTTAGCTTTAATCTAATTAACATGTATACACTATTAGCTAATTTTTTATACTTAAAGTTAAATTTATACAAAACAAAAACATTCAGTAAATTTATATAAAAATACAAAATAATTAAAAATATAAATTTTTGTTTGTTTGTTTAAAAATTTGTAAAAAATATTTTACTTGTTTTTATTTTTTTTTGTATTTAATTTAAATTCATCAAAGTTTAGCACAATGTGCAGTATTAAGTTTTGCAATTTGAAATTTATACGTAAGGCGTTGAAAATATTTTTAGTAGCAAAAGATTTACAATTAAAAAAATAATAATTATAAACTAATTAAAAAAATGCATGAAAAGCAAATTTAAACATTTTTCTACTATTTACATTTGTGTAATTTTTATAAAAAGCAATAATATTTAAATATTTGCGATTATAAATAAAATAAAATTTCTTACGCTCATGTGAGTTTCTGTGATAGTTTCATATATAAAACAAATTCTATAGCTTTTCAGTCGATTTAACTGAATAAAAAGATTGACAATTGAAACATTTTTGTATATATTTTTAAAGATATTAAATAATATTATTCACTAAACTGACTGACATTTTAATAAAATATAATGTATGCTTTACTAATTATCATTTGTAGTGATCTGCGATAAATATCGATATATATGTGTACATATATATCTATATCCAAAAAATTGTTAATCAATTCTATATACAAACAAAAATATTTTACTTTCTGTGGGTTCGACAGTGGTATAAATAATGATTTAATTGAATCATGCAATTACAGTCATTTTTTCACATTTTTAGAATAGAATTTTTTTTAAAAATTATATTCTTATTTTCTAAAAATATTTTGGTATACATTAACATCAACTATTTTTTTTAAAAACAATGGACACATTTATATAGATAATATATTTACAAATTCAATTGTAATTTATATATATTTCAGCATTTGTTCACTTATATGTATTAGCAATATATATGTATATATATATATAACATAAGATAAACACATATACATCTAAAACAATGACGTATACAGAGACACTTTTAAGGGAAGAGTTCATTGAAAACTAATTTAAAGTTCTTATAGAAACATTTAATTGAAAAAATCCATTATATTTAATGCAAAATGCCTCGAAATATTTTAAAGGTCAGTAGTTCAAAATTCTGCTTCCCTTCTTTGTATATGCCACTGATATATAAGGTTATTTGTATCAATGATAATATATTATTTATTTTGGAAACATATAGATTTATGACTTAAGTTAGTTATTAGTAAAACAAATACATTAACGATATACATATGTATGTAAAGTAAATACTAATAAACAAATATATATCTCACTCAACTCAAAATGCTTTGGTTACATTTAAAATTGAGCAAACACTTTTCAATTTCCAGTATATAATATATATATATTAATTAAATATGCTAAATATATGCATTTGATCGATTTTAGTATAAAAAATTTACTGTCTATAACTTTATTTTCTTCTTAAAACATATATTGTGGTAAATCGTTAATCCTTCTTTGATATATTTGTAATTATTAAACATTAATCATTAATGAAGATGGTTTATGTTTATGTTTATGTTTATCTATCGTAATTTCTCTATACCTTAACATAATATTTTCTAAGCTTTCAAGTACTTACTAAGTAGTCATCTTAGTACTATGCTGATTTCACTTATTTCACAATATATATATATATATACCCATTAAAATTTTTATAATTTTTCAAAAACAACATTATATATTTATACATAAGTGTTACATTTATTATTTTATAACACAATGATTTATATATTAAACAAATTTAATTTATGTTTAAAATATTATATATAATTCATGTTTTAAATCAAGATAAAAATCTGGCTATTTTCACATTACAGATGGAGCTCAATATTTCTCTTTGTATGATAAATTTAAAAGCCAGAAATAATTTTTATTTCTTTTTTTAATTTAAATGTATAATTTTATTTTAAATAATATTTTAAAACTTTATAATTAAGCTCCACCACTTTCTTTTTAGCCTTACATAAAAATATATAGAAATATATAGAATACAATATATCGAAAAAAGTTCAAAGCTTAAATTTAGCGTTTTGTTTCCCATTTCAAGTGTTTAAGTATACACATATTTATATATAGATGAAATTTTGCTTAATATACATACATATCATTTTAATATTCGTTTGAACAAATCTTTTAAATCGATTAAAATTCTTTTAAACTGCCACCACGTTTCAATTTTGCCAAACGCTTGAAGCCACCTACACTGCTACCGCTAGCTGTTGTTGTTAAACCATAACCTGGGCTGATTGCACCAGCGCTGCGCTCACGTTCTCGCACAATAAAACTACCACGAAATCTCACACGACCGCGACGCTCAATACGTTGTATCGGGCGCCACTGAAACTCCTCCGATTATAACTTTTTCTCCCACACCACAATGTGTGCATCGTTTGAATTGGCAATAAGTGGTGATGAAGTGCCACTGCTTAATGTTGCTGCTTTATGTCCTGGTGAATTGGAGTTATTGTACCAGACATGCCGCCAATAGCCACGTCCACCCATTAAAGTTATCACTGTACGCGGTCCATCGGCATTTTGTTGCTGTTGCTGTTGTTTTGCATTCTGTTTCTGTTTACGTTTTAGTGTTGCAACGGCTGGTGCAACTGCATTCGCAGATGCAGCATTGGTATTAGTTGGTGTACCACCAGGTATTTTCATTGTTTGCTTGCAATCATTTAGCATAAGTTTGAAACCATCTTCAGACTTGGGTGTACTATGTTGGTGTATTTCGGCAGTTGTCATAAGTCCATTTTCTGATATGTTACCTAAATCACTGCCATTGCCAGAAGTTTTGTGACTAGCACTGCTACTATTGCGTGACACTGAGCGACCGCCAAATAAACGTATACCCATGCTTTCTTCACTACCTGATGAGGTATATAAACTGGATGATTTTGAATCTACTGACCAATTTGATAAGTCCAGTGAACGTGGTCGTGATGCCTTCATACGTAAGCGTCTATCAAGTGTGCTTACTTTACCGGGTATGGCTGCCAGTTCTGGATCAGAACGTCGCATGCCTTCATACATCATATCCATGAGATTACCTTTTGTGCCTTCTTCTGTGTCGTAGTCCTCTTTAACGAAAATCAACTTGCCATATAAACCATATACGTCACAATAGCCGTGTTCGCTGTGATTTAAAGTACTCGTGTTAGAGTGTATGTTCGCGTTGTAGTAGCCTGCAGATGCGCCCAAACCACGTGGCAATGTTTTTGACATCCGTGATGATTCTGCGGACAAATCACGAAAGCGTTTGCGGTGAAAAGCTGGCGAATTGGCGAGTGAAGCACGTATCTTAGCTGAAAAAGACTGATCGAGTGAGTTTTGTTTGTCTAATTTAGAACTACGCGGTGATGAAGCGACAGAGTCTACATCAATGCTTAAATCACGCAACATTGAGGCTGAAGGTGATGCCGCCCCAGATCCGGTGTCATCCTTTGGCAAATCACGCCTTAGTATAACAGTAGATTCATCTAGATCTTCTTCAGTCAGTTTTTTGGGATCAGCATCTATTGCGGGCAATTGTAAATCATCACCCATACTGGGTGGTGGCGTTGGTATACTGGCTTCTGTGGTAACTGTGGTTGGTAGTGTTTGTGCTGGTGGTGGTTTGTAGCTTGAATATACTTTAGGTAACAATGGTAGTAAAAAGGTGATAGGACCAAAATGTGCATGACATGACATGCTTATGCCGCCACTTATGATTGGTACACCTTCCAAACGAGGCAGTGGTATTGTGACTGCGATGCCAACATTTGTTCCAACCCATAAAAGACCTTTGCAAGCCATTAAAGCTGTCACATATATTGAGCTATTATTTACCGTTTGCTCTTTCTTGCCATCTTTACGTAGTACACTGGATGCAATGTTGATATCCTGCAAATGTTTAAATGTTTCAGTGTGATACAAACACAGAACTGTTGAGTTCTTCAAAGAAATCCATAAACCAATGCCTGAGTGTGCCATTAGATTGACTTGTTGACTGGCGCCGTGTTGTACTTCAAAGCTCTTTTGTATTTCACCGTTTAATGCATTCAAAACATAAACACGGTTTGCACATGAAGCATAAATATTCATATTAATAGGCAAAAGTGATGGTACTGCTAAGCCTGTATCACCTAATTGTACCAATTGTGGATCTTTTAACATCCATACACCATCATATGAGCGTCTATATATTAACATTGTGGCATTCGAGAGTGCGACGTAGACTGCATCAAAATGATACAGAATTTTCATTACGGCGCCAGGTACTGTACAACAGCCCAATTGTTCCTCTTGCTCTGGATTTTGTGCAGAATAAATAAATATTTTGCGACTATCTGTGCCCATCCAAATGAGATCACCCAATAGACTGTTATATTCCTCTCGTGTTTTACAATTGTCCAAACCCTTAACAAATTCCATAGCCGACACTTGAGTTTCATATAAATCAAAAGCGCCCACATCTCGCAAGTTACCAGCCTGCTGGTGATGTTGTGAGAGTATGGCGATGTGTGAAGAGGTACCATCACTAGTGCAAACCCACAAATAGTTCTGTTGCTTAAACCGACGACGAGAATTACCAGTGACCTTAATGTCATTTGCGATGCTATAGTAACATCCACAGCGAACCTATAAATAAAATTAAGGTTTAATGGATAGATTCATATTAGCATTATAATAAATAGTTACCTCCGTTTGATGCTGTGACTTATAAACGGGCAACGCTTTAACAAACAAAGGCATTTTATTGGTTTGTTTTTGTTGCAACTGTTGCTGCTGTTGTTGTTCGTAGGTATTGATGGGCTCCGTAGAGGATGCTTCCCAAGCGGGAGAATTATTTGGATCTAAAGCCAATTGTGCTAAACGTAATTCGGTTATCCATTCCTTCTTCACATTGGGAGTCTGGGTCTGGAATGTGAATGTTTCCTCTTTACCGGATTTACTGCGTGCAATAATTTGCAAACAGCATGAATCAACCCAGGATATTTCTTCATTTTTACGTTGTATTGATCCTTGTATTGTGTTTAAAACATTTCTGGTTATATTCGAGTTAAGTTCCTTGTAAGTGCCTTTTAGACTGCCGACGAGATCGTGTATGCGTGAGATTATTTCATAGTCGTACATTAGAGTGCTCATTTCATTGCAGAGATTATCAGCGCCGTTTGTGAGTTGAGCTGCTGGTGAATTTTCAAGAGAACTTGATGTATAAGATGTGTTAATGGGTAAAGTGTTGGTTGTACTATTGTTGCATGAACTGCTATTCGATTTTAGACTTCCACCACGATTAAGACCTTAAATGGAATAAAAAACCACATTTAGTTAAATGTTTTGGTAATGATAGATCCAAGTAAATTTATTGAAATACGAATAGTATTGTGTTTGATGATAGATTCAAGAGTCCTCACAATGTCCTCACGAAATGATATTTAGAAATTATATATCAATCGCATAATATCGTTTACATATGTATGAGTACAAAAATATTGTTATTAGAGCAAAATAATTAACATCAGAATATAAAAAAGTTAAATTTTGCTAATAAAGAATAGAAAAAAGTACTTTGATATTGACCCAGGAAAAATGAAAATAAGAAGAGATAATGGAATGTTAGAAAATTAAAAGTTTGACAAAGTAGAAAAGAATGCAAAGAAAACGAGAAAGAGCATATGAAAGATCGATCAAATAGATGTTTTAAATGATAATGACGCATATTGAGTAAGAATATTAAAATAATGAAAAGAAGATAAAAAGATATAAGAGTGTAGAGAAAATGAAAAAGAATATATAAAAAATCAGGATCCCCTAAGTGATCACAAACTTTAGATACTAACTCGTATTTCATCACGCAAAGAAGAAGAAGACGAGAAGACTATTTTTTTATATAAACTAATAAAAATATTTAAAATTTACTAAATTACATCCGTAGAAGTCCTAACTCAACACCACTGAATGATTTTCTTTTCGATTGCGTGCACATAATGTGGAACTTCCTTGATGAAACGCGCATTAATAGGTCATACGAAATGATATGGTAAACAATAACCTATTGTTGCTATTAAAGATGTTGTTGGTGAACAAACTGAGGGATAACACAACACTTTATTTCTGTACATTAAATTTTTAAAGACACAACAACGAATAAAAAATGAATTAAATTGTTGGCAATGAAGTGAAGTCCATGTGCGATTTGTTTTCGTTTTCACAAATTTCGTGCCAATAAACTGCAACAATCGCTGGGCTGGAATAGTAGACGCACCATTATAGAAATGCTTCGGTTGAGGCTGTCAAAAGCGTTTAAATTCATGTTAATTTGTTGATTTATGCAATTTAGCGAAGTTCACAGTTTTTCTATTACAATTTGAGTAGTTGGCATTCATGACTTAAAAAGAATAATGCAGATGAACGAGGGGCAAACTTCAATACAAATTATGTATGGTATGTTTAAATGTTTTGAAGGAAGGGTTTCCGCTTCGAAATTGATAAATTGCGAAGAAGATAAGAAGAACGAACAACAGATGAGCGTAGAAAAATACACGAAAAGTCAAAATGCAATATTTTTTTATTTGAAATGTTTTGTTGACTTGACTTCCCTAAAAGATAAACATCGTTTGTTGAGAGTGTACAACTTAAAGTTTTATATTTCTTGAATGAAAGGGAAAGTTTGGGTATATTGTAGACAAATTAATTTTGAAAATAAGAAAATATATACTTACAAGCAATTTAATAAGTTGAACTAATAAGTTACAATTGAAAAATAAGTTGGACTTGTAATGAAGATTGTTTGTACCAATAAAGTGATATACTAGTTCAACATTCTTGAGCTATTATCGGTTAGTCTTATCGATACTCTCATAGATATAGTTTTAAAACTGTGAATTCTAATATATGTCTAAAGATAATAGTTAAACTTAATTTATATCAAATATCAAATCTTTCTTTATAAACTTTCCGAAAGGAGTTCATTTGAAAAAAACCTTTAGTATTTTAAATCAACTTTATGCACATAATCGCAATGGGCCAGAATATCTCTTCTTTCAGGATTTAATTACACTCAATATCTGCGATATATGGTAACTTCATAACAAACTTACCTGCAGTTAATATTCTCGATAATGTTGCAGAAGTACTATTATCGACAATTTCAACATCGGTAACCGGATACATCCATTTGAAACTGAGTTTTTCTGTAGCACCGAAATCATGTGATTGTTTTGGAGCCACAGAAACGCAAATCACCTTATCATTCAGCAACAATAGACGTCTCTGTTTCGACTTCACAATAAAGCCAGCTTGATTAAATTCCATATGTGTAACATTATCTTCACGCAATAAGTAACGTGGACGATTGCCATCATTCGAGGTAAGTGAACGTGTATTGAATGTACCGCTAATATGACCCAACATTTCTTTGAAACCCTGATATTGTTCGGCCTCTCGTTTGCGTTCATTTAACATTTCAGCCAATAGTTCTAATTGTGTTAAAGCCAATTGTAAAGACATACGATCATGATGTCCTTGTGGTGTGTATTTTAATAAGTCCTGTAGAAAGAGTATAAATTGTGGAAATCTTTGTACTGGTTTCACCATTAAACCAAAGAATGATAAGCGATCATGGGCACTGATCTGTTTCACTTTGAAGAAATCCGCTAAAGCTGATTTGCGTTTCTCTTCCATTTTGGCGAGTTCCATGGCCGCTGAGAAATTATTAATAAAACCGGAATAGATTTCCAATATACGTGGTTTGCTGAATGCACTGACAAAGCAATCACCCAATTTTTCATCTCGATCCCAATTTCGTACGCATTCGGCTAAGGCAATGCGAAACAATTTGTGAGAGTGTAAAATTTCGGGTAGACGATGAAATAGCGTTGATATTTTGGCAGCGCTCAATACTGGTGGACTGCTTTCTTCGAGTGGTTGTTTGTAATCCTATAGGTAGAGATGCAAGCGAAAAGAGATGAAAATAGTACGAAAAAGAAAAAGATATATATTAGTTATTGTGTATAATTTAATAAGTGATTTTTTATATTATTAAAAAAGGCGTACAAGTTTTTATTGGATATGAGTTATTGCTTATTTTCTATTCTCCAGATAAAAACTTCATTACCTTCTATATTTATTATTTCAGTTTAAAATACCTATTTCTAAATTTTAGTAATTGTTACTATTTTACTATATTTTGTATTTTTATTTTTATTGTATGGGATGATTTTAGTACATATTTTTCATGTTAGTGGTGATGGTTATGCATTTTTATTTATTATGCGTGACGGGGTATGGTTGGATGGCATGAAAAGAAAAATATAAAAGATTTATGATTTGTTTGGAGATTAAATTACAAGTAATCTTATATATTATTATATTACAATAATTGTTCAAAATGCAGAAATATAAAAAAAATTTAAGTAAAAAAAGGTGCGAAGTGAAATATAAATATATGTTGAATCTAACATAAGTAAAGTAATTTTGCAATGCAAATAAAATCTAAGCTTAATAATAAACAAATATGAGAACTTAGAGCTCAGAGAAAGCTGAGTACACAAACTGATAGTAACAATTCAAATAAAAAGATTAATTCCTACTTAGTAAGTACTTTTCCTTTACTTTAAATATTGAGTCTCATCACTAAGGGATAATTGTGGATTTTTCTATGTAGATGTTGCTGCTATTTGATTTACAATTGCTTTCTTTCAGTCGAATATTTCGCAGAAGTATTTATAGCACAGAAGTATTTATAACATTTTCAGTCTACAATGAAAAAATAACATAGCTTTTCATATATAGCAGTGAATAGACACAATGGGTTGTTATCCGAATGCATAGAAACCCTTTATAATGATCATATTGCTGTGAGTCGGTGAAGCAAGTTTCACCTTATCTTCTTTGTTATTGTGCGAAGTTTGTAGAATGTTTGTGTTAACTCTATTTTCTCTATTACTTCCTATATTTTCTATTTTATAAAAATCAAGTGTCCCTAACAATCGAAGCACTGATAATGGCTAGGTATTATTTTTATTGTAAATGACAACGGTACTTTATAATATGTATATGTTATATATAATATTATAAATAATATATGTATATTATATTATTAGATCTATCCCTGTTATACTTGAAGAGAGCCTTTAAAGTTAACCGAAAAAAGTTGAGGTTATTGGCAAACGTAATTATGTCTTCGGATTCTAGATCACAGACTCCTTTCGATTCAATGTAATTAAACTGAAAGTATTGGCTTTGTTACTCAGTAATGGCAGAATACGAGCATAGTTTGGTTAAGTGGAAGTTTCACTCTGTATCTCAAAATGGAGAGTATTGAACTTTACTCTCATGGAGAGTATTGAACTTTACTCTCATTTTTAAAAGATGTAGTTCACAACAGAGAAAGTCCAAATTTAAGATTTGGGCTGAGAAATTTGTCATTTCTATCGTTGTAGGCATACAGTGTCTACATTGCTACAAGGCATCTATATATTTTATTGTCACTTCATTAAGTGTATCTACGACATCTTAAATACGTAAATCAAAGACAATCTCTTTTTATTAAAACACTATACTTGTACGCCAGTTCAGAAAATTTTAAGTTCTTTACAACAGTTTACTTTTAATTTTTTTTTACGATATCAAAATTGATCTACCTTTTATAACTAGGAAAGAGAACTTTCCAAACTTAAAGTAAAAGGTATAGAAATGTGTTATTTACTAAAAACTTTGATTGTTAAAATTTTGATTGAGGCTGTACGTGACAAGGCTTTTTCGAGTTTAGAAGAGTAAACAATTAATGGAGGGACTGAATGACTATTGTCATTCAGTCAGCTCGAGTGTTTATCGATATCAGGTCGACTGCTAATGTTACAATGTTACAATACTTCAGATTTACCATTAGAAGTCTTCTTAAAAATTTATATTAATTATTATAATTTGAAAGAAACGTTTCAAATATTTGAAGATACGTGCAATTTATTTGTAATATAGAATGGCAAAACGTTTTAAATAGAATTTTTACCTATATAAAGTTTATTCTTTATTACATGTCCCAAAAAAAAGCTGCTTAATGAAATGGATTTCTCAGAAATAAGAAAATTTGATTCAAGCAAAATAGAGAAAGAAGATAAAACTTTGTTATTAAAACAAAGATTACGAAAGTTGAGAACAATATTTCATCCATCCAAACATCTAAGCACAACAGCACACATAATTCTTATGTTTCCTTAATGAACACAGAGTTTAGTGTAAAATTGCGTTTATTACGAGTATATAATAAAAACAACAAAAACAACAAAATAAATGAAACACAATTAAGCCAACGCAGGACTACGTTCCATCCTAGTTCTTTTTCAGTTTATTATTGAATTGGCAGACATGGCGTACTTGGCAACATGGCAATATGATTGCCAATTCCATGTGGCAACTTGGCCTGAATTACTGAGCGGTGGTATTGCTTACTTGGCCTGTGTGTATTGCACAAGCGTAACTTAATAGTCGAACGGATGGATAGACGGATGAATGGATGGATTAGTGGTCAATAACGATAATTGAATATTCGATATAAAATTACTTATTTAGACACGAGTCGAAATATAGAAAAAAAAATCCATGTATATATATATAAAAGGAATTATAAGTATAAAAGCAATCAAGGATATTCCTTTACATTTTCTCAGTAAATTAGATTAAGTTTCTAAACAAAACAAAAACGTAAGTTGCAAACAAAGTAATTTCTGCAATCATAATAAAAATGAAAAAATTCTAGGGACATTCATGCAAGGAACATTCATGGACATTGCGTGCAAGTCTAATGTTTAATGATTTAGAATAAATTGTATACTTAATAAATTAAATTCGTTCAAATAGTAAAAGATAAATTATATGTTCAATAAATTAAAGATATTTTCAAGCATAGTAAAAAAATATAATAATTTATTATAAAAATTTTTGAATTAGTGCATATTTAATAAAAATATGGGATTCAGCTTGAATGTTAAAATTATAATAGGGGTATTCACGAACCCGAGTAACGAGCTTTGTGACTGAGTAATGTAGTAATAGTGGAAAGCAGTTACAATAAAATAAGACAGGAAGTTGTTTGACGGATATCATTAAAATAATTATAATTTTAGAATATACCTCCAAAAGCGGTAATATTCTCTTTGTTGTTGTATTTATATATTAAAACTTAAATCTCTTAGCTCTAGATATTTATATATGGTCTATATGGGAGACCCATTTAATTAATTAATTTATTTAAAAATTAAAATAATCTAAATAAAATTTAAATTTAGATATTTTCTATATAGAAGGTGTAAAAAAAAATAACGATAATTTTGAAATTAAGTCCTTTTTATGTAATGGTTGCAGTGCTAGTAACGGTTAGTTTAACTGATAGTCTGTTGTAATGATTGTAGTGTAAAGTTTATAATTATTTATGATGAAAAATAAATCATTTCAATGATAGTTTCTTCAAAAGCCAAGGGCGAAAAACAAATCGGTCAGGATTGGTCCTATAAAATTTTTTACATCGACATTTCTTTTACTGAAATGAAATAGTTCATTACAGTTTTCGACCGACTGATTACATTTTGCGTATGTAATCACATTGTTATCGTAATCCCGTAAAAATAATTAACTTTGTTTAGCAATTGAAGAATTTTGCTTATACCACAGCTTGTAGCGAAATATAACAATACCGTAGTGTCTCGATCATCTTATTCTCCAGACATGGTACCCGTAACTTTTTTCTATTTGCCAAATTTAAAAAGATACTTAAAGTTTTTCAGCAATAGATCAGATAAAGGCAAAACCTTAGATCCACTACAACATCAGAACTAAAAATAAGTTTGAAAGTGAGATTTCCTAAATCAAAAATTATGATAACAGGTGTACATTATCAAAGATGAACTACTTTGGTAAGAATGGAATAAGTATTGAAGATTACACACTTTTAGAAGAAATCAAGATTCTTATTTTTTAATCACACCTCCTATAGTTTATACTGCAAAAGAAACTCTTATGTTGTACTATACATATAATATTTCATTTCATCGGTTTTGGATAAGGATAAGGTTGACTTGAGGTTTGAGCTATGAAAATATTTTTTTTGAATAAAAGTGATAAGTAATAAAAAATATATATAAAACTTTGCAAATGAAGCGACTAAGGAAATGATTATCGGTTTTTGTGTGTGTATGTTGCTGTCTAATTAAGCGTGATTGGCTTTGATAATATATATTGAAGCGAACTATTTGATTAAGACATAATATATAAAGTTGTTACTAAAAACTTTTGCAATAATTTGCATGCAAAATAAAAACTTAAGAGACAATGTTTTGAAAATACTTCTAACGCGTTACTAATACAAAATTTTTTTTTTCTAATTGGGTTTTTAAGATAATATATTCGTAAATCGCTATGATTAAATTTTTAATGAATTCTAATTTAGTTTTATGTTTAACTATATAGATTTTTGTCGATCCAGTTAGATGCAAAACCTCGCAGCAAATTGTAATCATTTGATTCTGCTCATTGCCATTCCTTTTATTATGTTGCAAATCTTGTTTAATCGTGTCAATTCCACATCAATATGAATCTTCCAAGTATGTATTGGGCATTCTCCTTCTCTACTACTTCGACAATAAATAATAAAATTTAATTTAATTAACTCACTTTTTGTTAAAAAAGATAGCTTCGGTTTTAAGTTAAAATATACGATACATTTGAATATTAGGATTAAAACTAATTTTATCATAAATTTAAATTCTGATTAAAATCAGTCTTATCTATAGATTAAGAGGTTGGCTGAAATAAATATAACTACATAAATATTTCACGAAGTACTACTCTCATAAATACTCTAGCACAAGTGCAAAATCATATTATAGATTACCTAAGCAAAGCTAAGATAAGAAGCTGTAAATAGCAAAAAAATTATTTCTACATTAAATTTATTTTATGTAAATATTTTTGAAGTTTAAAAAAATCCGTCATTCAACATTTTCAAAAAATTGTCTCTTCACAGTTTTTTTTAATGCAAAAAAAACTAATCAAAAAACTGTGATAAATTTTTGTCATGCCCAAATCTGTACTTACATTGACTAGACGTTGCAGGGTTGCCACATATGAATTTTCACTATGTACAATGGCGGCCACAATATGGCGTCTTTTCAGTTGCTGCTGTGAAAGACCTGGTGGCGCTGGTGGTAGTGTAGGTGTAATCAGTCGTGTATGTGCTGTGCGTGCAGTGCCATTTGCGCGACTTCCAGGCGGTATCATTAAATCAACATCAAAACGTAATGTGGATGCTGATAATGATATAGTGTCATCATCTTCATTCTATTAAGAGAAAACAATGAAAATGTTAAGAATCTATAGGAATCAATAACTAGAGTATTTAACTTACTTCTGGTACACCAGGCATTTTATATGGATTTGTTGAATTATAATTCGACATTTTCTGCGGTGAAGCATGTTGTTCATTACAAGCTGCCGCATCTGGTATATCAATACTGGACGATGATGACTGGCGACCATCACGACCACCAACATCATATTGATGTGATGAGCCACGTCTGATTGACCACCAACGCGATAAACGCCCACCAGGTGATTCACCTGGTGTTGTTATATCCTCACGCGGTGGCTGATGTGCTGTTGGCATTGTACAGGCACTTGCCCTTCTTGTCAATGTACCGTTGCTATCAGCGACACCGTTCAACGAATTGGCTGTATAGTTCGCTGAATTGTTGTTGGCTGCGTTTCCAGCGTTGGAAGAGCTCGAGCGCCATTTGTCGAAGGACAGATGCTGTTTGGCTCTATTGAAGGTGGAACGCAATTGAGAATTGCGTTGATTTGGTGCGCTTAAAGAAGTCACGTTGCGTTCGTCTTCAGTTACCGCTGCCTCCTCGTCGGAGGTATTGGCAACTGTGGCTGTTGTAGCTGTAGAGTTAAATGTGGAACTTAAGTCCTGTTCTGACTGGTCTGAGCACCAGCTATTTTCGGAGTGCAGTGTACGTGTTGAGTTGTTGTGTTCGAGACGTTTTTTTGTTGCACTATTTGTTGTTGCTGATGTGGTTGTGATAACACCACCAACGGCCGCTGAGCCGCCGTTGGTGCTAAAACTTCCGCCGGCAATTGTGCTGCCGGTAACGGCTATGGTGGCCGTATGTTCCGCTTCGTGTACTTTACCAATGCCCGCACTAGACGGGCTTCCACAACTTTTACTGTGCTGGTGGTGGTGATGATGATGGTGCTGATGTTGAAGTGTATTAACTGATGCTATGGTACTAGCGTTGGGTATTATCAGCGGATGTAAGCCGTTATAAGCAGTTCGTGAATTTTTCAATGGATCCGTGTGTAATAAAGCGGTAGCGCTATGTAATTGAGCCGTTGTTGTAGTCGTGTTGCTGTTGTTATTAGAACTCAAATGTACGGGTGCGGGTATTGGCTCGTCCCAGGATCCAGAATTCAACTTGGGTTCATCTAAAATTGAAAGAACGCAAAAAAAAAATTGTTAAAAATGTATATATTGATAAAGAGACGGTAAATTTATAATGTGGCAACACTGTTCTATAAATAAAAGTAATTTTTAACACCGTTTGGTGTCATGTTATGTGGTGAAAAATGTTTACACTTAACTTCTGCCCAAAAGGCAAAAAATCACCTAACCAAGGCGAATAGCATGACATGGTGCTTAACAATACAGAATACGAGTACCCTGAGATGGATGACAACAGAACCAATTGTTGACCAATGCCTGACAGCAAAATACAAATCAGAAGACAAGTAAATGCGCAGCTTATCACTGCCACAAACACATTAAAGACGTTAATGCCGACGTTTATCTTAAGCTGTTTCGTTTCGAAACGCTATTAAGGCCCATTAAAACGAATCGAGTAATCTTGTGGTTGTCGCAAGCGCAAAATGACAAAATAAAATTGAAATTAAAAGCAGAGAACGGAAAATAAATAATGTGAAAGAATAAGAAATTTTGCAAATTATAAACTGACATAAGAAAAAAAACTACAAATATTGGCATAGTAGAAACTGCAAATGTTCTTGAGGTATCAAACACCTACTCTGACTAGTAGCTAACGAGTGTTTTGTATGGAGCATTTCAAAGTCCAGAGTACCAAGTAGCTTTAATAAACAATAAAAAATAAAAAAAAAATATGTTTGATATAAAACAGTAATTGCAATGTAATTGTGGGCTACGTTGCGAATCATGAGTTGCCAATTTTGTTATTCAGAGCAATGATCTAATCATCAACAAGACAAAAGTAGAAAATTCATGGCGGAATACGTTTCGGTTTTTAATCGAATTCAAATACTCAATGAAGTGGGCAGATTGAAACTGGCCGGTCTTAAACCTGCCACCGATGTTGAAAGCCTAACAATGGTGTTCTAATTGGCACAATCAAGGTTTAACCAACGTTGATTTGCGTAACATTTAATACACAAATTCGAGTACTGTTCCAGTAGCTACTTAGCAGTAGTTCTTGTAGAGGTGTTGTACTCGTAGTAATATTTGATTGGAAATTCAAGGCATAGAATTTTAATTTAAAAAAAAATTATATTCTAAATATAGGGTGTTTTTTTAAAATGGGTTGAATTTAAAATTGAAAGACAATAAACATAATATTAATATATCATTTTAAAACTTTGGTGCTCCAATTTTCTATAGCTTTTTCGATTGTCTTACAGCATTATATGTATGTCTCACAAGATTCATTGATGAATATATTGCATACCAATTTTCTGAACTTTTAAAGAAGGCCGACCTAACTATGTAACCAGTATAAATAGTAAAAGCAGAGGTGCTTTCAGAAGTACAGAAATGAATAAGAGAAGCCAATGTGTAGCACATATAATTTTTTTTTAAAATTCAAAATATTTATAAAAATCTTTTAGAAAGAATAATGTTTTATTTTTATTCTGTGTTTTTAAAGATAATACATTTTACATATAGACATTCATAGATCCATAGTCCATATCATAGATTCATAGATAAATATATTTATATATTTCATAA